GGGTAGTCACTTCGCTCGAAATCCACTTCACCCGAACTACCGATTCACCCAATTACCGGTTCGCCCGTTTTCCTTTTCGCCCGATTTACCGATGTTACACAGTAGGCCTACTGGGGGTTTTGACTCGAAATGTACATCTGGTAAAATGCATAAAATCTACCATATGATCGCATTTTAGTCAGGGTTTTCTTGCCGATGCAAACACTGCAACTGATATGTCCGCCATTGCGGGTAGTCATCCTCATTCACAATAGAGGGGTGACCGACAGGCAATGGGACAGGTACGCATCGGTCGTCATACACAGATTTTTCACTTGTTTCACCATCGGTGTTTGAATAAAGTACTTTCACAGTGGTGTCGTTGGCAGAATAATTTCAATCCGCACATTTTATGCAAAGATTGACCATTGACGGACCTTTGTACGCCCTCCGGTGTTGAGAACTTGGTTAATGTTAAATGTAACTGGGAATTACCAAATGAATATTCAATGATATGCAACATTTGGTACTTTGAATTATGACGACGAGGCCATCGACTGTACGAATGAAAACCCAAGTTATTTTATCTGAATAATACGGTGATTCGCGAGTTTTATTAGTCAAGTTGATAAACGCTGAGGTTGGCTTTAGGTAAACGTAGTGTTCCAAGTTCCAAACACCAGCTTTTTACTTACCATAATCTCAGTGAATGTTATCGTGTGAGTGGAAGAAAACATCTTTACTTTTTTCATTACCAACTATTTTTTTCGGAGTTTTATATGACAGTTGTTTACGAATAGTGCTGTTTATAGAGGGACTGTGATTATATCTTTACTTTCATTGCTCCCCCCATCCAGGAAACAAAAAGTTCATGCAATATTGGTAGTGAAACTGGGGAAAACAAACACAATACTAGTAAAATATTTCAAAAGTTTTTCCTCAACTCAATTTGTTGAATTGTTGTAGCTCTGTGTTTTACTGTTGTCAAGTTACTAAAAAATGCTAATATTAAAGGAAAAATAAAGTTTTATCAGATTGGAATTACATTAAAAACAGAGGTTTACATTCTTATACAAAAAAAAATGTGTTTTTAAAAGGTCATGGTGCATTTAACTAAAGGAACTACCACCATCAAACAAAAAGGTGTGACTGTTCCTCAACTCATTGTTTCCTCCCGATACACAAATGGCATAAAACGCAACGCAACGGCATAAAATTACGTTACAACCCCGTTGTAAACTTCACGTTCGTCACCTTATAAAAACAAATTTCGACTTCTACGTTATCTTGTTTTGACTACACGTAAATACCAAACATACGAGGAATCAGGCGAACTGGTAATCGGGCGAAATGGCAATCGGGCGAAATGGTAATCGAGCGAACAGGTAATCGGGCGAAATCGTTCGGGCGAAGTGGTAATTGGGCGAAATGCCCCCAATTCGCCGAGGCGACAATGAAGCCATGCGTATGCAACAATGATGCCACAAAAGCCAAAGCTTCCGCGAGAACTGTACTGTAGGCAGAAAAATTATGACAAGCAATTTGTTACATAAATTTGAGAAATGTTGTCACGAAGTATAACATGTCCCCTATTAGTAAAATATATTTGTAATATGTGAGGAAAAATAATGTAGCATTAGAAGCCACCATGGGTGCGACTATTTTATCCTCAACGAAAGCCCAGATTATACACGAGTGTATGACGTACTCAATATGAATCGTACCTGAGAAAAAAGATTAATAATAATGAATCACATAGATTTTCATAGCTAGTCATTCCCTCCACCTTCCTAACAAAATTTCCCCACAAGTGGTGTTAATTAATTCATTTCTTTGCAATAAATCCAGACATACTACACTGGAAGGGCTCAGGGGAGGAAACTAACAAGGGTTGACAAATTCTAGATGAGGCTGTGATTTTACCTGCCCACACCGATCACAGAAAGTGAGTTAACTCCATAGTAACTTGGGATACTGATGATTTTCTATTCCCTCCATATAACAAATATACAAAGTAATATATATGAACACAGTGAGATTACTACATAAGTTTCTTGATCGCAGAAAAATTTGTCTGAGCTTACCAAGTGGTCATAAACCTCAGAAATACATGTATTTGTATTAATTTTGTATAAAAAAAAAAATGCTTGTCACATGCACCGAATTATAAATCCCTTTGGAACTTTGTTCGAACAGGGACAAATTAAGGCCTTTCACAAACCATTTAATAACATATGTGATGCTACTAGCAATGTTACTGACAGAGGAAATTTTCGTGAATATCAAAGCCACCTTCCACAAAATTTAACTGCAGATGGTTAAAGGGCAGTGGTCACAGCGCAGCGCGTATTTGAAATTCTTGTAAACATGCATGTCGCTATGAGTCCCATATCGAACAGGACACAGTGCGACGACTACCGCCCTTCAAATCAATGTGCCAAATGTTACACCATCGTTTGCAGAGAAAACTGTGTTACAAGTACAAGAAAAAACAATTAGAAATCTGATTACCATATGTTTAGCATGCAGCACAAAACAACTTCATATACAGAAACCTCAAGGTTTGTGGCACAAGATGACAACTTACCACATGCTCTTGGCGAAATGTTGCCATCTTGAGGGACTAAGCCTCTCTCCGACAGCTACTCACTGATTATTTTATGTGACATTTCCTATATGAGTGTGTGTCGTGAGTGTGTTTTTTCTACGGTTTCAACGAAATAGCAATCACTCGAGCTATAATTTTCGCATCACATTTTCTGTGACTTCAGTCTTACGTAGGGTCACTTTGCCCATGCATCTTTATGTGATTATATTTAAACAAAACAATGTTCAAAATCATAGCTATCGTTTCATTGCTATTTATTAGTATAAATGAACGAAAATAAAAAAAGTCAGTTTGACCTACCTGAGCACAATATCTGGTAAGTATTCCATTTTAAACTTAGCAGAGAGTTGTTCTTTAGGATAAGTAGCAGGAAAAGAGGCACTGATGTCAAAATCCCTCACATCAAAAGGCTGAAAAACAAAGATTTGATAAGTTACTGATTTAACTTTTATTGAGTTTTTCAATACTTCATTATATTCCTCACTGTACTATCAAATACATCATGTATTAATGTATAGATAAATATTATATTACAGTCAAGCCCCTGTCGCCACCTGCCTATAGTGACCACTTTTAGGCAGTCCTAATGCATAATGTATGAGCAACCTGTGTATAAAGACCACCTGCCTATAGTGACCACTTTTAGGCAGTCCTAATGCATAATGTATGAGCAACCTGTGTATAAAGACCACCTGCCTATAGTGACCACTTTTAGGCAGTCCTAATGCATAATGTACATTGTATGAGCAACCTGTGTATAAAGACCACCTGCCTATAGTGACCACTTTTAGGCAGTCCAACCGGTGTGTAAATAAAGACCACCCGACTCTCAGCAATATTTTTGCAGATCTGCCTTTGTTTAGAGACCAAAATAATAATTAGCATTCTGTTTAAAAATAATTTTTAATTTCCTCAAGTTAAACTTATTTGATTTTTGATCAACTCAAATAAATGTGTTTTGTTTCAACAATACCATCTCATTATTATCTGGACAAATATCTCCATACAAAGACCATTTTAACTGTTTCTCCACCAGACTTTCTTGCCCAATTCTTTCTGTATTTTTTCTTAAATTCTTCAATATTTCCGAAAATAAACCTTAATTTTGGAGCAGACAGCCATAATTTTAATAAATTTTCAATTTTGACTCAAAAATTTTGCTATTTTTGCCCCAATTTTCTAAAACTAATCCCATCACTAAATGAAAACAATCACACAGAACAATCTCATAAATGTTTGGTGGTGGCATTTCAAACTTTGTTTCTCAATAGATTATAAGTACAAATAAGAAAAATGTAAAATAATAATAATATCACAAGGATACCACAAAGTATGAACTCAGGCAGTACAGGACCACATAAATCTCCACTACGTGTTGATCAATACGATAATCTCCCATGATTCTTTGCAGTCATAATTTTATACACGTTTGGAAAAATGTCAGATAATGATTTTTTTTTGGACAAAATTAGCTTGAATCTTTTTCAGATTGTTTAGAGAAAAGAAGTCTCTGCGTGTTTGAACACACTAAATTTTTATTAATAATTTAATATTCTTACCCAATCAGGATCAGTAGGTGAAAATACAACCTTATAAATAGTCATATTTTCATCTTCTACGACATCGAATTTTTCATTCCGGAATCTTTTTTTCAACTGTTCAATTTCTGTCGTTCTAAGTTTCTGTAATTCTGCTTCTGGTAATTGGCTCAATTTCAAATTCACTGTGGGGCGAACCACTTTTGGTCTATGTAGCTTGGCAGGTGCTGGCACCACTCCATCTATGCTTGATATTGGATCATCTTCTATTAGATTTTGTGGATGGCGAAATTTGCATTGTGGTCCCATCGAGCAGTTCCCTCGTGCAAAGTACCTACATAGTTTTTTTGGCTTTCCCTGACTTTTTTGATCATGGTTTAGTGTTTTTGATACAGTCTTGATGTTTTTTTCAATCTGAGGTACATCTTCTTGTAACAGTTTACTGTGTTCTTCGGGAGAATCATGAAAGTATGGACAATTTTCACCAGCTCTGCAGCTGGCAGAAGATTTAAAGAATTTACAGGGTGTCTTTTTTTCCAATTTGGAGTGATTGTTGTTGGACCTCGCAGGACCAATAGCTTCATTGATAGGAACCACGTGCACAAATCTACATCTAAAACCAAATCGACAATGGTGATGTTTTTGGAAGAAAGTACAAACTTTTTCATCCTGGTTACTTGATCGCTGTGTAACACGCAGCTTATTTTTAGTGCTCTTGGCTACTGATGGGTTGCCAATCGAGATGTCTTCTATGATTCCATTTTTCTCGTCATTCGACGTTGTTGGCGGAATGGACACACTGACCTGGGAGACCTCAACAACGGCGGTTTTGGAATCTGCATGACGCCAACGGCACCTTTCCCCATACCGGCAACGTTTTCCTGCTGTGAAGAACTTGCACGCCCCTTTCTCTGTTCCGCTTGCCGACGGAGCTGCGCTACTACGTTCTGTCGATTCGTCGTGCATTTTCTGCAGCAGAACAATAATAGTTGTGTGACCCTTGAACCGCGAAACGTGAATGCCTAAAGGTTCGGTGATGTCGTTGACGAAACGAACAATATCGGTGATGGTTACTGAGTGTCCCCCTTATATGTATATCGAAGCCCAATTGCGAAATGTTACAAGTACCAATAAAGTTACACACAGTGTCAAAAATAACTTGGGAAAACGTAAACAAAATTCAACCTTTGCATCATTGCAAGCTATTGTGAAATCCGGAAGTGACGAGGAACGCGCCAGGAGTAAAAAATCCGCGAAGGTTGCGCAACTGCAAATAGTTCAAGAACCTCGACAATGACGAGGTATGCGAGTCGTATTTTTTTCATCCGGTTCTATACATAAAACTATTGCAGATTTATCATTTTATATTCACAAGATGAACCTATAAGATTAATAGAAACATGTAAAATACTTCGATAGGGTTAATCTCAGGTTTAATTACATTGGGCGTGTCTCCAGTCTATAGATCGCGGGGTGGGGGTGTGATAAACCTATCATACTAACTCAATCAAAATGATCAACTGATATATTCATACCCAGAAAAGCCCACGAAAACCGAAATGAAATCAGCTTCATTGCACCGACACCCATGTACTTTACACTCAGATATTAGAACAATACGGGCAACCATTAGTGCAATTGCTTCAGGTAAACATGGGTCACTGGTATGAAACAATCTCTTATAACCAAAATTAATTTATTGCATGTGTGAGACTGAAACAAAATAAATTACCAGTTGTAGAAACACTTAAAATCTTGTTCAATCAATATTGTAAAGATACATTGCAGTGAATGGTGACAATAAAGGGGGGGGGGCAACAAATAAATAACGTATAGAGGGGTTACAACAAGCCTTGGAACTGTATCTAGAAATAAAAATAACCCTGCTCATAGGGGATATGTGACAAAACTGGGGATAAGTGTGCATGTGCTTCAGATAGAAGTAGAGAGACACCGAAACAATGACACTAAGAATAGAACATGTCCTATGTGTAATAGAAATGAATCAGGATACAAACTTGAAGAGCATTTTCTTATCAGATGCAAACAATATGAATACGAAAGGTAGGATTTATGTATAAGCTAAGCATGCAAGAAGATCAGATATACCATGATGAACTGATTACCTTACTGACAAACACAAATAATAAGCTAATCAGAGAAATCTTTAATTTTATTGATAACTATTTCAAACAAAAGAGGAACAATATCAATTTCATACAGCCAGCAAACAAAAAATATTCAATTCTCATTCATTAGAACTTTCTTTTTTGTTCTGTCGCTTTTTGTTTTTGTTTTTTTTGTTCTATATATTTTTTCTTTATTGTCATGTTATCAAAATCCCAATGAGGATACGAGGTCAATAAAGAGTATTATTATTATAAAACGTATGACCGGGATGTGGTCACGTGATAACGTAGGGAGGGGGTATCGGTCGACGGTAAGTTAAATTTTATCATGGAGTGGCATAATGGAGTTACAGACATACTGTAGCAAACACGTGACGTAGTTCATATACCCACTCAGGAAGACTGTACGGCGTAGTATAATGGAAGTCGATGTGACCCTGGGCGCTTTGAGCTGAGTGCTGTATTCTATAACCCCTTTCCATCCCTTCCAAGGGTTGTTAAAAATTATTATTATTATTATTATTATTATTTAATTGTATTCTCGTATAAAATCTGTGTTATGTAAATCCATGCATGTTTTGAATCTGTCGCCATATGGGGTTTCACGACAACTACACTTAATTATTTTATCATGCAAGATATTGAAGTTTGAATACGTACACAACAGCGTATATCACATCGGTATGGAAATTAATTAAATTTATATGTCAATAAAAAATATCAAAATATGATTTTTCCCGCAAGTTTTTCTGCATTGCTTTTGTGTCGACTCAAAAAATAAACAATGACGTCGTGTACTGACGTCATTAACGTATCTCAGCCATCAACAAACAACGAATTACAAATTGGCATAAGTTTGTTGGCCGGGAATATGGACAACCCTTCTTAGTTCAAGTTCGCAATATTATCTAGTGATTTGTATTATTAAATTAAATTAAAAACTAGTGCAACTGTTATTTTAGTAGGCAAATATAGTAATTGTGTGTGTGGTGACGTTATACTAATTGATTATTGTCGTTAATGATTTCATTTCACTAAACTTTCTGACCATTCGTCTTGTTTTGTTTAAAAAAAACCAAAACATATTAATCTCAAATTCAATGCGGAGTTAATGAGTATTCTGCTCCTGGCCAGTGAGTTCAGTTAGACCATGTGAGTATTGCATCATAGTTAGATATACAGGTATTACGGGTATAATCAGAATATACGTGATGTTATCATTTTCCATGAAATAAGATAAAATGCCACGATAGGAATACCGTCTTTATTGTGTTATGCACTTAGACTGAATCAATATATGAGCTACCATTGAAGAAAATGTACAATGCAAACTAATAATAATATGTACAAGATCAAACTGAAACAAAACTTCGTATACAAATTAAAAAGTAAAATTAAATATATATATAATTTATTGCTTTCCTAGGCCACCGGCCCATATACAAACATATCAAATCAATGCTTAAAATGTAACAGGTACAAGTAGAATATGATAATATTTGATCACATGGAATTAAATAATAATTAAAATGTAACAGGTACAAGTAGAATATGATAATTATTGATCACATGGAATTAAATAATAATTAATTTGTTAAATGTATATTCATTGAGGTTCAAGTCTAATTCATACCTATGAGCTATGAATATACAAAACACCAATCAACCAGATCATGTCAATATATAGGTAATATTTAGTAGCAAAAAATAAAAGAAATTCATGCAACAGGATGCTTAATTATCTCCGTCTATTTTGTAAATCATGACTGTTACAACTACTGTAAACCATTAATTTTCGCTGACATTTAATTTCACTATTTTGATGTTTTGAGCAGATTCACTGTGTTTTAATTTCATGAGTTTTTCAAGAAAACACTGCGTTTTATTGTTAGTTTACATGTTCAAGTAGATTTAATTTAACGGATTTTACTTATCAGCGAAAATAGCGAAATTAAAACCCAGTTAATAATTAATACATCTACAGTAGTTACTTGTTTATCTGCTGCTCTGTAAACAACTAATAGATCATTATCTGGGTTTATGCATTATGTACATTTGCCAAGCACGTACACACTGTACCGTGACCAAGTGTCTGATGTGTAATCTGAAAGAGAATCACTAAGGGTCGATTGAGATAAAGGTGATGTCTAATGAAACTTATTTCTGCACCACTTCTAAGTAACACTGGTGCATTCATTTTCAATATAAGCAACGACGGTGACATGATACCAAGATCCCGTTTCAATCTCGCTCTCGCGTGAGCGTTCCCAACTCAGAACAATGTGAATGCGCATGCCCGAGGTGACAAGGACACTGGGATGTAAAGGCGATCAAAATAGCTGCGCACGATATGACGGATTACGATAACTATATTTTCTGTACATGTTCGATGTATTACATTTTTTTCACTACGATAGCAGTAAAACATGTTTTTATTACAAACCATGAACATTGATATATGTCATATCAGAAGGTTGTAGCATCAGTCTCGCTATCTACGAGATGAGACTTGAATGGGATCTTGACATGATGTCACTATACAGTACGATGCGCGTTGCAAACACCAAGTACCTCTGATAGTAGTTACATGTATTCACTTTCACCAAAGAAAAAAAAGAATATTTTATCCACGAGGAATTAAAAATGCATTTCAATATTATATAAAAAATGAGGTGTTGCAATATAAATTTTGATGAAATAATATTCTCGTTACTCATTAAAAACATAAATTTGACATTTCTCCGAGAGTCGTCAAAATTAAAAATCTATAGTGATTTTCTTTTATCATGATAAAGAGAGCATATCACGATGAAGTGATATTCATCTTCGATTTGTTTATCAGTCCAAAGGATGCACATTTTTCCAGTTGTGCTAATTGATACAATATGTTAATGAAGGACATAGTGTTCTGGTATCATGATGGACTAGAATTTAAGTGGTGTAACCGGAAGAGTATATAAGTATTAAGTATAAGTATTAATATAAGTGGAAATATGTAACAAATACATAGTTCGGAGGATCACCTCAATATGGTTTCTCGTAGACTTGGTTTTATTGTTTTGTATGGTGGAAATGAGTTTGAGTTTTCAGTCACGTGACAATTTTAAGCTGCACACGAACTGATAATAAGTG